TTTTCATACACTTACAAATATAAAAAAAAACTTAATTTATTAACGTGTTCTACATAATATTGAGTGTTTCAGAATTGTAAGACTAAAATTTTTGTTGGTCAGTAACTTTGAATTTCATCTTGTGATATACCTAAGATTTAAAATGCTAATTATTGAAAATGCTTTTTAAACTCTTAATGAAATAATTATTAGAGAGTTTAGCATAAAATTACCTAGGATTGTAAGATGAACCCCAGATTTAGGCAATGTTTCTGATGGTGATAAAGATTGAGTGGTTGGCTCAACTTTCAGTATATTTCTTCAGTTAAAATTTCTAAATTGTTCATTACAGTTTTCATGAGTTATGCTGAAATTTTATCAAAAGAAATTGCCTTGAAGAAAGTATACCAAATTGTTCATATATGTGACATTTCTTAGTTACCTTTCAGTTTGACATCTAATTCATATAGTTGTGTCAATGATTTGGATTTCTTTTCAATTATAATACATGAAAAATGTGAACATGAAATTTATAGATCTTATTATATTAGAGGTGGGGTACTAAATTGATTGAATTTTGGATATATATTAAGCGTGGTTACTGTTTTTAAGTTCTGACAAAGTAATTAATATCAAAATGAAAAGTGTAAACCTGTAGGAACTTGTTGTACTTATATATGGTGAATCATTATGTTCTAATTGAGTGGAGTTGTTAGGTTTTATAAATGATTGTCAGATTAGGTGGTCTGTTATAATTTGAAGCCTTCACTGCACAAATCTAAGAATTACAAGTTCTTAACTGATTTAATGTGAAGGTAAGATTTTTAGAAGGATGATTAGAAACTTATGTAAAACAGTTATTTACATTTCACTTTTCTTATGAATGAATGCCATCTCTTCTCATAGATTTAGTCATTTTATGTAATGTGAAATGGACAAACCTTCTAACTTTTTTGTTAAGTTATTTTGTTTATGAATTGTACTTAGGTAAGTAAAATAATCTTTTCAAGAGGTCAGTAATTAATAATTAGTAATTATTACTGCCTTATATATGTTTTGTGTGATTAACCAACTGTAATAATTACAATAAACATTTCAAATAATGATCATTTCCTTTTCCCAGGTGGATTATATAGTATGACTGAGGACTTATAATACTAAAATTCTGGGTTCACCAGTATTAGTGTAAATGTCCTTAATGTTGAAAGCTCAAGGTGATCTTGGTTAGTTGTACTTGTAGACAAAACGTTTTCTTCATGCTGTCATTCTATTTCAATCTGTCTCACAAGTATATTTAGATGCATATGATTGATCTTCTAGTAAGAGTTGTATATTTACTTGATTGATTATTGAAATATATATTTATAGAACAAATGACATTGTCACATTTGTGTTGTTATGATTGCACACATAAATTAATAAACAAAGAGTGACAAACATCCTTTGTGAAGTGTCGTGTCTTTGATTTATTCCTTTTCTAAAAAGTAGGTTTGTCACAAAACATTGTATATCTGTACATACAGAACTAGAAGGCATATACAGATATACTTGTTGGTAAAATCTGAGATTTGTTTTGCACTCCATGTTTTATGTATTGAAAAGTGCAGTGTAGATATTTTTGAAATTGTTTTTTTTTTTTGACAAGTTTATGTTTAAAGAAAAATAGTTAATTACTCAGCCATAAATATGTTGTGTTAGCAAAAGGTATTTAACTTCCAGTAAACCTAATAACCTAATTCTGAAATTTGTATTTTGTTTCTTTAACTATATTTTAAATGGTATAAAAAACGTTTACAGACTTAGATTTTCCAACATTTTTCTAACTGCACATTAAATTGGTATGAAAGCACACACATTAAACCTGTTTAGAGTGGCTTCATAAAAACATCAATGAAAGTACCCTACTGATGAAAAATTACATTTCAAAGTTAGCTTTTTCCTTAGTAAGATGCAGTATTCTTTTGAAAAGCAGAAAATGTAAAAATGATGGCGTGTTCATTCATGATATATATGTATACAATGTACGTTTGTGAAATATTTGTGACAAGTTGGCAATGTTATGCTATAATAAAAATTATATACATGTAAATATCATATTTTAATTTGTTTCTAATAATATTGTGTAATGTACATACTCCAGTAAATTATTAAAATATAAAACTTTTGTAAGCAAAGTAGCAGTCACACGCATAAATCATGTGTTTGCATTATAAACTTAACACAAAACACTTGATATTTACAAATAACACATGACACTCTAGTAAGGACTGTATGGACTAATAAAAAATATTTTTAATTGTATATTTACATATGCACTGGATTGTTATTGGAATTAATAGAATATTGAACATCATTATAACAGTCATGGCGACCTCCGTGATTCTGAGGGTTAACAGTTATGGTTCTCCATTTGTCACTACCTGCACTGACTTTCCTATCTCCAATCCATGTTTTTAATGTCACTAAGCCATGTGAGTCTTTGTCTGTCTGACGATTTTCTTCCTTAGGTTTTATTCATCAGAAATGTTGGCAAGATTCCTTCATATAAAATTACATGCCCAAGTAGCATAAGAACTGGAAGGTGAAGAAAGAGGACAACTCTGGCCATCTGTAAGAACTGGAAGGTGTGCTACTTGGGCATGTAATGAGGAAATATTGGAGCATGTAAAGAAAAGAGGATGAGGAAATATTGGAGCATGTATTACATGCCCAAGTAGCACTCCTTCCAGTTCTTACAGATGGTCAGAGTTGTCCTCTTTTCTTTACATGCTTCAATATTTCCTCATTACATGCCCAAGTAGCACACCTTCCAGTTTTTACAGATGGCCAGAGTTGTCCTCTTTTCTTTACATGCTCCAATATTTCCTCATTACATGCCCAAGTAGCACACCTTCCAGTTCTTACATAAAAGAGGACAACTCTGGCCATCATGTAATGAGGAAATATTGGAGCATGTAAAGAACTCTGGCCATCTGTAAGAACTGGAAGGTGTGCTACTTGGGAAAGAAAAGAGGACGAGGAAATATTGGAGCATGTATTACATGCCCAAGTAGCACACCTTCCAGTTCTTACAGATGGCCAGAGTTGTCCTCTTTTCTTTACATGCTCCAATATTTCCTCATTACATGCCCAAGTAGCACACCTTCCAGTTCTTACAGATGGCCAGAGTTTTCCTCTTTTCTCCAATATTTCATCATTAGTTTTTATTTTTATCTAGCTGATCTTTATCATTAGTCTATAACATCACATTTCAAATTATTCTAATTGCGTTTTTATTTCAGCGGATGGGATTCATGTTTCATCCCCCGTAGAGTAATTACTGACGATACATAAAATATTAGTAGGCTTATCTTCACTTGCCATTATTACTTGTATTTCACAGCCTACTAGAAATATAAATATTTATTGTTTGTTTTACTTTTCTTAACTAGGTGATAAGCTTAGAGGGATGGACAGACATAATGTATTATGTACAGGATGCTCATTCATTTTGGGATTGGATATATTTTATGCTCCTTATTGTGGTAAGCAATATGTACTGTTTTATCCTACTGCATTTTTTTTATCCTAGTGTATATATATTTTGAAATATGTAGTTATGTTCTGTGCAGTAAATAATATTTTACAGTAAAAAGTAAAGTTATGATAATGTTCATGTTATTGCAGTAGTTTTTATAGTAAATAAAATAACTGTCAGACTTACACTTAATGGAAGTCAAACCTGAAACTAGTCTTTCTATCAAAGGCATCATTTGCTCTTCTACCTAACTAACTAGTCATAACTAGTTATGAATATATCAAGGTCATTTTGAGGTCATATCCTTGGTTGTTTTTTGGCTTTCTTCACTCGCGCTCTCTCTCACACACACATACATTTGGAAGTTATACCTTGAAATCTAAGTTTGACCTCTGGAGAATATTGGCTTTGGCTATGGTGATGCACCCACCCCTCATTTGCCTCTTCACAGACCTTACAGGCTTTAATATAATCAGGACTGTGACACAAATGTCACTTCAAAACACATTAACATCTTGGAGAGTGCATCCTGAATGAAATGTTAATCAAACAGTGTCACCTTTACTTCTGAAACTATAATCACATACAATTTAAAATTATCAAAGTTTACTTCACAGATGAATAAAAGAAGTACAGTTGTTCAAACATTATTCGTTTTCAATTACACACACTATGAGTCTTAATGCTCTGGCAGGTACACTCACTCTCTTAGATATTTCCCAGTTGTTAAATCCTTCTGAAACAGTATTTGTTTTTTTTTTGGAAATGAGCTCAAAAAGTTTTTTTTTTATTTCTGTTTTTGATAGCCTCTTATAATACATTATAACATGTGAATAAATTTGGCAAATTATTAAAAACATGTTGAGATATGTTTTGCCCAAATTAACTGGGGCAAGTATTTTTGTAAATACTGAGGGTGCCTGAGTTATCTTGGGCAAATCACGAAGGGGTTAAGTGATTATCGTGGCAGCATCGTTAAATGATTATTTAAATTACGTGATTACATTAAACTCAGTAATCAAATTCTTTACCAGAACTAAACATTTTGATATGAAGTTTTATTAAAACATTTTTCAGCATTGTTTTATCCTAAATTCTCAAAAAATCTGAAATTAATGAAACAAAAAAACAACATAATTTTCTACCATAAGAATCATACTATGGGTAAACGTTTGTAACAACTTTAATATAACTCTCAATGAACACTGCAGGTTTTTGTTGGGGGTAATTCCTGCTAAATTAAAAGTTATTCAGGATCACCTCATTTCAACTCAGTGTATGCTTTCAAATGAGAGGTTTAAATTTAGTAAACCGTTCTGTTGAAACATGTATAAGTGATAATAGGTAACGTATTTTATCAAGCGAACTATACCTACTCTAATATTAATATTGAATGGTTTTTGGATTATTATTTCAACTGGTTATTATCAATTACCTTATTAACATCCAAAGTTGTTGCAAGTTTTATTATAACTTCAAGGTATATTAACAATGTTGGTATTCAATTTTTTTTAGGTTGGCTCATTTTTTATGATCAACCTTTGCTTAGTTGTGATAGCAACACAATTTTCTGAAACCAAAAAAAGAGAAATGAAGAGGATGAAGCAGGAACGTGCACACTTTCAATCCACAAGTTCTCTTGCCAACACCAATCCATCTGAACAACCACTTAGCTGCTACAAAGAAATGATGAGATATCTAGCACATCTGGGCCGTCGTGCTAGACGGAGATTCCTACATTGGTACAAACAAATGCACCAGGAACCTGGGAAAGAAGAATTACCACACTCAGAATCTTTACAAAGTAAACATCATGGGCTACCACATCAGCTAGAGCAAAGCTTATTAAAATGTCAAGAGTCTTGTTATGATTTTTCAAATAATAATAACTTCGATTCCAGGAACTCCTCTTCTATCCAGTTTATTCACATATCACAAACACCTGAACACAATGTGATATGGCCTTTATTTGAATCATCTGTTGCTCCATATGCTAGTCCTGAGTCATCAGAAATTGATCCTACTTCATCACCAAGAAGACCTAACTTGCTCAATGTTCTCACCCCTGATAATTCCATAGTACCCATCACTGTTTTCACACCCGATAGTTCCTCCATAAGTGAATGCCAAGGTAAGATATTATGTCTGTCAATTATCCTTTGTCATCTGAATTGTAAAGATATTTTTATGTGTAAATATAACATTAGTATAAATAAAACTACATTCATTTCTTCCTAAGAAAACAATATATATTTATTATTCTGCTTGTTTGTATGTACGACCGTTACGCTTTCTGACCGAGAACCAGCTGTAT